TGTTATTACACTATGAACTGTTATTACACTATGATCTGTTATTACATTATGATATGCTATTACACTATGAGCTGTTTTTACACTATGATCTGTTATTACATTACGATATGTTATTACACTATGAGCTGTTATTACACTATGACATGTTATGACGTAATGATTTGTTATTACATAATGGGTTGCTACAGCGTAGTATCATCAGAGGGAGTCTTGACCTGAGGAAGGAGATGGCAAGCAGGAGGAGGCCGGCGTAGGTCAGTGGCTCACTCAGTCTCTGGAACAGGTGCAGATCTGAAGAAACTTCCTCCAAGATGTCCTGTGACACCTGCTGCAGAGAGCGGCTGCTGTTGGCATCCAGGTCAAAGCTCACAGAGGCTGAGATGGTAAAGTCAAACTCCTCCTTTAATCTCTCAAACGCTGCAACAGTAGCTGAAGAAGGAAATCATAACTGAGCTCAGCAGGAGGATCAGGGCCTGTGTGCACTGACAGATACCTCAGCACTCATTATCGCTCAATGACAGAAGCTTATTATTATTATTATTATTATTATTATTATTATTATTATTATTATTATTGTTGTTATCAGTCTTTTTATTTTTATTATAATTATTGTTATTATTATTATTATTATTATTAATATTGTTGTTGTTGTTATTATTATTATTGTTAATATTTCTGATCAATTTTATTTACTGTCCAGTCCTCTCACCATACAGACCACAAACCCAGAAAAAGATTTAGACCTAAAGAAAAAAACTCACGAGCTGCCAGACGTTTCCTCAGATGGTCAGCGATGTAGACGGGGACGGTGCAGAAGAGCTCGCCGGCTGAAACAGCAGAGTTAAGATTTCTTCATCATGGGTTTGATAGTTTTGGTTTAGACATGGATGAATGTGAACATGTAGTTTTCACCGAGCACAGCAGGCTGATGTCATATTACCATGTCAGTGAACGCACCGTGGGCGATGCTGCAGAGCGGCAGGAAGCTGTCCACAATGTCACACAGGAAGTTGAACTCTCCCAGCAGGTAGGAGCAGTCAGCTCGAGCCTCAGCAAACACCGCCCGGCACTTCCTGTACGGAGAGCCCAGTTTGGCGTTACACACTTCCCCGATGTCCACCAGGAAGTGAAGGACGTTCCTCAGAGTGCGAGCTGTGGGGTCAGAGTTCAGAGATGTGTCAATTGCTGTTTCTCTACAACAGAATCAAAACAACAGACTGAGGCTCGTTCGCTGGTGCCTGTGCTCCTAAAACTGGAGAGAAGGTCAGAGGTCAAAGGTTGTCTCCTCATTGTCATGGTCTCGTCTTCATCAAGGACTAAAAGTCCAGGAGGAAGATTTTGGATTCTGACACTTTTAGGAGAAGACGTCAGTGAACGAGGCGCCGTAATCTCTCAGGTAAACTCTCAAACGGCGGCCCCTCACCAACATGGCGGACGCCATTGGTCAGAGTGTGGATGAAGTTTTGGACTCGTCCTGCGACAGCGTGAGCGTTACTGCCGATCTTTTTGATTTTGTCCAACGCTGCTAAAAACACAAACACAGAGGAAGTGATGTCATAACCATCTCTAAGCTGAAGCACGGATTCAGGTGTTTTCACACATGATGATGTTGGTGGTTGGATCTTACAGAAAAGGGGTGTGGCTGATCTCTGCATTAGTTCTTGTGTCTGATTGGCTGCCAGCTCGGCTCCACACAGCAGGCTGGCGGCGGCGCGTTCCATATTTTCCATTGTGTTGGTCAGAGGACCGGACAGCAGCACCGAGGCAAACAGGAAGAGGAAGAATCTCCGCCCATGAGCTGAAACATGAAAGGATGGACTGTGATTGGCTGAGCAGAGCCACACCAATTCCAAAAGCTCCGCCTTTTTTTTGAAAGCTCATCATTAAAATGAGACTCTGGGTCAGTAAAGGATGCTCTCTGGTGCCCCCTGTGGTCAGCTAATTTACCTGACCTTCTTACACTTATAAACACCTGAGACTCACCTGAGCAGAGTGAGGGCAGCATCACCATGATATTAGCGCGGACGCCAGCTGACAGACCCAAACCAAAGGCGGCGAGGGCGGCCATGATGATAGCGGTGTAAGAGCAGAACCACAATGGCTGTTTCTGCAGGAAGAGAGCCGTGAGAGCGTACACAGACACCAACAGCAGCCCGCAGACAAATGCCACGAGGCTCCTACCCCCGTCCACCAAGTGACCTTTGACCTTTGTTAGTGTAGAGCTGCGGTTAGCGCGTCCTGCTGACCTGAGGACAGAGAGAGAAAAAAACATGGACGGTAAGACAGAAACTCGACTGTTTATTATCTGACTGAAGAGGAATTAATGAGTCAGTGACACGGCGCTCAGGACACAGACGTTTCAATAAGTTCACACGCCACAGGTGATGTCTCTCAGACTGAGCAGTGATGAAACCCGCCGCACATAAGTAACTCTGTTTGTGATTCTATGAATGGATGAGGGGAAGGCAGACTGCTCTGTTAGAATCTGCAACCTATCATCCAATCAGAAAATAGTATTTCTCGTTGCTAGGTGAAATGGCAGCGCTGTAATCATGTCTTCCACGCCAAGCAAACACAAAAATGCTGCTATTATGTGCGCATGTCAAAGAAGAGCGGGGAGTGAAGGCCTGAAATCATGTGATCACTTCATCACTTCATTATTTTACAACAGCTGCTGATTTCAGTCGAGGAACTGAGCCGGATGATTTCTTCATGGATCTTTTTATTAAATTATACCTCAGTTTAAGTTATCTCCAAACACACTTCACCCTCACCCCCATCATAGACTCTGCATTAATAGATGTCATCTGCCTCCTTCCTGGGTAAAGCCACCACAGGAACAGCAACACCTGGTGACGGGCTGCAGTATAGGTCATAAACCCCGCCTTCTCCAGTGAAACAGAGGGAGCTGCAGGTAAACTTTAATGTCAAATACAAGTCATATAAATGTTTCTCCCCCCTGGTTGTGATGTTGACATGTAGTTACTGTCAGACTGGTTTGTGCTCAAGTCCTCTTTTTTCTGTACAGATTCATTTTTAAAAGTTATTAGGGCGTTCACGTTTTCTATGATTGACACTTGATACAGCCTATGGGTGTATGAAGATTGGAAGCTCCATAGACATCTATAAGAAAGACTAGATGACTCGAGGCGGAGTCATGGGTGTCCCTACACGATGGCCATCTTACTCCAGTCTACCATTCTGGTACGCTCTATGGTAGCTGACAGGAGGTGAGTAATCTGTATGATCAAAAATACTCTTAGCTCGCTGAAATCTTGACAGATTTACAAATGGTTTTGTTTATTACAGACCTTAATACTGGCTATGAGTCGGGATGCTTGGGCATATTAAAATGACAGATTTACTTTTAGAGAAAAAAAGAGTTAATCATGAAGCACAGTTGTGTCACGGCTATTTGTGCGCAAGGGCTAACTCTGAGTCGCTTTGTCAAGGCTGAGACCACAATCAAGATTTTAATTTCTTGTACGACAGCCTATTTTTTATTACTAATAAATATTGCTAATATAACATACATGGAATTATTAAATGTTTAAAATGATTTAATATAACTGCCTTATGTGTGTAGGGCTATAGCTATTGCTCTACCTATCTGCTTAATGTTTATTTATGAAAATCCATGCTTAAAATTATTCTTAAGTATGCAGGAACATAACTAAAACTCTGAGGTTTGTTACAAACCAAACCGTTTGAAAATCAGTCTAAAATTAATCAATCTATGGTCATTTAAATGTTACATGAACCAAGTTGGCTTTTAGCTTGGTACGAGCCAGGGCTCTCAAGTTCTGAACTATTTAGCTCCAGGCTAACTGTCTTTATCTCTCTATAACTCTCTTTAGCCCTGGGCTAACTCTCTTTAGCCCTCTTCAACTCTCTTTAGCTCCGGGCTAACTCTCTTTATCTCTCTTTAGCCCCGGGCTAACTCTCTTTAGCTCCCTTCAACTCTCTTTAGCTCCGGGCTAACTCTCTTTAGCTCTCTGTAACTCTCTTTCGCTCCGGGCTTACTCTCTTTAGCTAACTCTCTTTAGTAGCTCTCACCTGTGTAACACTCCTCTGGCGGTCTGCGTGACTCCTCTCCTTTCTACCTGCACTCTGACCTCAGTTTTCCTCAGGTGTCTCCTCATGTTGTCCCTCCTGATCCTCTCTGTGTCTCCGTAACTGTTTGTGAGTTTTTCTGTTGTCATGGTAACAAAAATAACGAAACTTCCAGAACCTCCAACCGATCAACAAAAACGTTAGAAACTGAAGCTGAAGTCCGAGCTGTCTGACTGTTTCTGGGAGGATGAGGACTTACTTGGGCTCACCTGCAAATCCTCACCTGGGCATACCTGCACCTCCTCACCTGGGCTCACCTGCACCTCCTCACAGCAGTGAGTTCATCCTCCTTCACCTCCATCACCGTTAGCTGCTAATGTTAGCTGATCTTTTAACTGTGTGTGTGTGTGTGTGTGTGTGTGTGTGTGTGTGTGAGTGTGTGTGTGTGTGTTTATCTGTGTGTGTGTGTGTCCAGCTGTAGAGAGGATCACTTTAGCCCACTGTCCCCCTGTCCTCCATCGTTTCCTCTTCAGCCAATCAGAGGAGTTTCCAGTGTCCCACCTGGTGGTCAGAGCTCTGTGTGGAGCAGTCAGTGGTGCAGGTAAACTTCACGGGAGAAAAAAGCTTTACATTTATTTTTTATATTCTGATTCAAGTGACTTTGACTCTTTTACACTGTGACAAATTAAACAACCTGATTACTTGAACTCAATAATAATAAAAACAATTACAATGATTGGAAATAAAAGTCTTTGAACACCGGTTTATTCCAGTCAAGAATAGGGGTGACTGGGAGCTGTGTTACATCTTTCTGTAACTTAAACCTTCATGGTTCCTCTCCTCCTTTTCCTCAGCTCCTTTCCGAATCAGAATCAAAGTTGATGGAGTTTGTTTTCCGGTCATCACGCTCACATCTCCTGTGTCGATACATACATGCAGAAATCACAAAAACAAAGAAAACATTAAAAGAGAGCATATTTGGATACAGTTTATCTCAGATGTTGGTTTAGTGTCCATGTGTCAGTGGGGAAGAAACTATTCTTGCATCTGTCTGAGTCGGCTGTCAAAGACCTGTAGCACCTCCCAGAGGTCATGAGTGTGAACAGGTGGTGTGTGTGGTCAGAGGTGATTTTCAGTGCTTGCTGTGTGACGTGTCTCTGTGGATGGGAGGGTGTGGTCAGTGATTTTGGATGATCTGATGATTAAACATTGAATTTTTTGTGACTTTCTGCGTTTCTGTCTCAGACGATTATCGATGATGTGAGGATACTCTCGATCATGACCATGGGGAACTGAAGGAGGATCATGTGTCTGACTCTGAACTTTTCTCTATTTGGCGTTTTTGTACATTTCATCTGCATGTTGTTTCCATCTGAGTGTGTTACTGATGTGTGTACCGAGGATATTTGAAGGAGTCCCTGATGGTTATGTCTGTGGAGTTGATGGAGAGGCTGTTTTGGGTGAGAAGTCTATGATGAGTTTTTTAGTTTTTGTTGAGCTGAAGGTTTTTGTTGTGACTGCTGTGGTGACCTGAGCAGGTTAGTGGTTTTCATTATTGTCAGTGATAAGTCCAATTATTGTTGTATTGTCTGTGTGTTTAAGGATGGATCCTGAGTTGTGAGCATGTTTGTGTCGAGGTAGGACAGATAGGACACGACCCTGAGAAACTCTGGCGCTGGTGGTCAGGGATTGGGATAAGAGGCCGCTCATCCTGAGCCTGTGACCTTTTAGACAGGAAGCTCCTAATCCAGAGCTCCTCTCCTCAGCTCCTTCCCTGAACTCCTCTCCTCAGCTCCTTCCCTGTGCTCCATTCCTCAGATCCTCTCCTCAGATCCTTCCCTGGGCTCCTTCCCTGGGCTCCTTTCCTCAGCTCCTTCCCAGAGCTCCTTTCCTCAGCTCCTTTCCTCAACTCCTTTTCTCAGCTCCTTTCCTCATCTTCTTCCCTCAGCTCCTTCCCTAACCTCCTTCCCTCAGCTCCTTCCCTCATCTTCTTCCCTCAGCTCCTTCCCTCAGCTCCTCTCCTCAGCGCCTTTCCTCAGCACCTTTCCTCAGCTCCTCTCCTCATCTTCTTCCCTCAGCTCCTCTACTTAGCTCCTCTCCTCAGCTCCTCTCCTAATCTTCTTCCCTTAGCTTCTTCCCTGAGCTCCTCTCCCCACCTTCTTCCCTCAGCTCCTATCCCCAGCTCCTTCCCTGAGCTCCTTCCGTTAGCTTCTTCCCTGAGCTCATCTCCTCAGCTCCTTCCCTGAGCTTCATTCCTCAGCTCCTATCCTCAGCTCCTTCCCTGAGCTACTTTCCTCAGCTCCTCTCCTCAGCTACTTCCCTTAGCTCATTTCCTCAACTTCTTTTCTTGGCTCCTTTCCTCATCTTCTTCCCTCAGCTCCTCTCCTCAGCTCCTTCCCTGAGCTCCTTTCCTCAGCTCCTTCCCTGAGCTCCTCTCCTCATCTTCTTCCCTCAGCTCCTCTGCTCATCTCCTTCTCTGAGCTCCTTTCCTCAAGTCCTCTACTCAGCGCCTTTCCTCATCTCCTTTAATCAGCTCCTCTCCTCAGCTTCTTCCCTCAGCTCCTTCCCTGAGCTTCTCTCCTTATCTTCTTCCCTCAGCTCCTCTCCTCAGCTCCCTCCCTCAGCTCCTTTCCTTCTCTTGCTTCCTCTGTTTCTGTCCCTCAGCTTATTTCCTCAGCTCCTTTCCTTCTCTTGCTCAGATGGTGAATTTTTAAATCTGTCTGTTCTGCTTAAATAAAGTGAATTTTTAAACCTTTAAATATTATTCGTCATTTGTAAAAATCGATTTGACCTGCGTGGCGTTGTTGTTCTGCGTTAGTTGAAGCGCAGAGACGATGTGTTGTGTTCAGGTACGGCAACACCACTGAGACAAACCAGGCGCAGACTTAGAGGAAGAAGGTTTCCTGAGTTTGGACAGGACAGCAGATCAGCTGAGAGACGTGGGTGGACATGATGGACATGGGGAGCAGATTCATGTCTCTGACCGAAGTTACAGGAAGCACAGACATGTTTGACATTCTTTTCAAATTAAAAGTCCTTTTTTCTTCTCCTTGACTTCCTGTCCTGATATAGACTTTTCCGTGATGTTATCATATTTAAATATGGTTGAATTTGTGGTTTTTATGCTTCAGTTTAAAAGTGTTATCATCTTTACATGAAAAAATCCAGATTTATAAACTGTCCTGGTCAGTCTCTCAGTTCTGGACGGTTATGTTTGATGGTTTGTCTGTCTGTCTGTCTGTCTGTCTGTCTGTCTGTCTGTCTGTCTGTCTATCTGTCTGTTTGTATCTCAGACGTTCACTTTGAGTTTTTGATGATAACGAGTTGTTATTCTGGTTTGATTTAACTTAATGAACACAAACATGTTAAAGTTTGAAGTTTGTCGTGAAAGGAGAGTTTTTTTAAAACTTTCAGCTCATAACAAAGAAAGTCTATCTAATTTTTAACCCTTCATCCCCCCCCAAGCTCTGTTTACTGGATTCTCTCACAGCCTCCCTCTGACCTTTGACCTCTGGCTGGTGGCAGCTATCTTCTTTATTGGTAAGAAAAGTCACACTCACTTCTTCATCTGAAGAATCATGTCCACAATAAAAGACTGACACACACCTTTACCTGCTCAAATGCTCCAGCTGTGTGTGCGGTGGGCGGAGCTTTGTCCTCCTCCTGCAGGTGTGCAGCAATCCTCATGTTTCCCAGCATGCTCGGCTCTCGTGGGCGAGCTTACCTGATGCTGTTGATCCTGACGGTGCTCTGCAGAGGTGAGCGCACTCGCAGACACACACACACACACACACACACACACACACAGATCCGTCTTTGGACTTCGAACCTCGACGATGACAGAAAGTCGTCGTCAGAATTCAGAAACTCTGAGGTCAAACAGGAAGTTATCAAAATAAGATGAAGTCAATAAAGTTAATTTAATCATATGAAAACTAAATCAGGGAGAATTCAGAATAAAAGAAATGATTTCAAAATAAAAGCTCGGTAAAAGACAGGTTTTTAGTTTCAAAACAAAGTGTCTGAACTTTCTTTAAAAGTTGTTTATATCTGTCTGTCGCCCTTAGTTTAGTTTTAATGCTCGTTCATCAATTTCATCAACATTTTAAAATCATGATGATGAACTCTCATAACTTCAATTTATTTTAAAAGTTTATTAATTTGTTTTTTATAATAATCACAACTTTTCCTCCCATTCAGAACTTTTTATCTTTTCGGGCTTAGATCTCTCATTCAATCAATCATTTATTTGCAACGTTTCGGTACTAGACCTTTATCAGGCAAACTGTTTTTTGTTCAAGAGAAGCCATCTTAAATAGGGAGTGGTCATTTCTCCATGACCAATCCCATTCTCACGCGTAAACACAGAGGGACAATATCATCATCAGGTAATTTAACCAAAGAGACAGCAAATAAACAACAAAACACTTTGTGTGACATCAGCCTAAAGTAATACCCACATGTCCAGAAGAGAAATCCATAACATAGTGAATCCATTACAAATAAATCAGCATTTTAAAATATGTTTTAGGAGATAAGTTTACATTGTAAGATAAAAACAGACATATTTAATTAACAAATCTCCATATCTAGTACAAAAGGGCATATCTATCACCAAAATATACATCTAATAACAATCATCCAAAGTTCATTTTGTGCATTTTGAACTACACACACTTACAATGACAGTGAATGACAACAACAGAAAAAGTCATCCAGATACCGGCAACATTATGGCTGTGCCTAATTTCTAAAAAATGTGGAATATGCAAAGGTTTTCCTCATCACCAAGATTTTTTTACTAATCAGAAGGGGCTCAAAAAAACTGTCTGCCTGATGAAGGTCTAGTACCGAAATGTTGCAAATAAATGATTGATTGCAAGTCGGACAGTTTGCAGGAATCCCTTTAAAACATTTTTTTTTTTTAAACTATGACTGAATTTTTGTTAAATAACTTCACCAACCTCAATCACAGAATTATGATATCTTAATATCTGTAAATTTTATATCATTAAGACTCTTATTCTGACTTTACACTGTGACAAAATCTCACCATGATTTATTGATTTATTTGTTTCATCACCATTTGATCGGCTAATCCGGACTTTTCCCGCCACAACCGCGACTCAGTGTTTGTTCATAAAGACAGACTCAGCTGGAGCCAGTTTCCCCTCACTGTGGAGCAGACTGTGGAGTCCCTCAGAATCAGAATCAGAATCAGAAGGGGTTTTATTGCCATTGTCGATGAACAGGATTCATAGACTAGGAATTTGTTTTGGCATGATGGTGCAACAATAAACAGAGAGTAATATAAAATACTAGAATAAAAACTAATAAGAGCATGCAAGAAATATATAAAGTACAAAAGTATAAAAATATAAAAGGTTATGTACAATGCTATGTACATTAAGTATAAAAGGCTATGTACAACTATACAATACAGAACAACAGTGCAGTGGGAGGAGTGCAATTAAGTTAAAGTGACTGAGTTATAACGGGTTCATGAGTCCAACGGCAGAGGGGAAGAAACTGTTCTTATGGCGGGAGGTTCTGGTCCGAATGGACCGTAGCCTCCTGCCCGAGGGGAGAGTCTCAAATCGTCCCTGTGCAGGGTGAGAAGGGTCAGTTATGATCTGACTTGCCCGTCCCCAAGTCCTGAAGACGTACAGGTCATGGAGAGATGGAAGGCTACAGCCGATCACCTTCTCAGCAGAGCCCACAATGCACTGCAGTCTGTGTCTGTCCCTGGCAGTGGCCCCGGTGTACCACACCGTGATGGAGGAGCTGAGGATGGACTCGATGATGGCTGTGTAGAACTGCACCATCAGCTGGACTGGCAGCTTAGCTTTCCTCAGCTGCTGCAGGAAGTACATCCTCTGCTGGGCCTTCTTGATGAGGGAGCTAATGGTTGGCTCCCACTTGAGGTCCTGGGTGATGGTGGTGCCGAGGAAGTGGTAACAGTCCACAGAAGAGATGGGGGAGTCAGTGAGGTCTAGGGAGGGCAGGGGGGCTGTGGCTTTCCTGAAGTCCACAATCATCTCCACTGTCTTCTGGGCGTTGAGCTCTAGGTTGTTGCTGCAGCATCAGGTCACCAGCCGGTCCACTTCCATCCTGTAGGCAGACTCATCTCCATCCAAAATGAGTCAGATGAGGGTGGTGTCATCCGCAAACTTGATGAGCTTTACGGAGTCATGGTTGGGGGTGCAGCAGTTGGTGTACAGGGAGAAGAGCAGAAGGGAAACTACACAGCCCTGTGGAGATCCTGTGCTGAGAGCCTGAGTGTCAGAGACATTCATCCCTAGCCGAACACACTGACTCTGGTCTGTCAGGAAGTCTGTGATCCACCTGCAGGTGGAGTCAGGTACGTGGAGCAGGGAAAGCTTGTCCTGGATCAAAGCCAGAAGGATGTTGTTGAATGCAGAGCTGAAGTCCACGAACAGGATCCTAGCGTAGGTTCCTGGGGAGTCCAGGTGCTGCAGGATGAAGTGCAGGGCCAGGTTTATGGCATCGTCTACAGACCTGTTGGCTCTGTAGGCAAACTGCAGAGGGTCCAGGAGGGGGTCGGTGATGGACTTCAGGTGGGATAAAACCAGGCATTCAAAGGTCTTCATGACTACAGACGTAAGAGCCACCAGCCTGTAGTCATTAAGTCCAGTTATAAGAGGTTTCTTGGGGACAGGAACAATGATGGAGGACTTGAAACAGGCTGGAACATGGCATGACTCCAGGGAGGTGTTGAAGATCCCCATGAAGACTGGAGCTAGCTCATCAGCGCAGTGTCTCAGAGTGGCAGGTGAGACACAGTCCGGGCCAGCAGCCTTGTGTGGACTCAGCCGCTTACACAGTCTGTTTACTTCCTCTTCCCGGACTGAGAGGGCAGCGGGGGGAGGGGGGTCCAGAGTGGTTGGATTTCCAGTTGTGTGGGGGGTGAGGGGATGTGAGTCCATGACTTCGAAGCGTAAATAGAAGTCGTTCAGGTTGTTGGCTAGTTTCAGGTCGTCAGTTGGTCAGGTGCTTTGGGCTTGTAGTTGGTAATCTCTTTCAACCCCCTCCACACCGAGGCAGGGTGATTGGCAGAGAATCTTTGCTCCAGACGTGCATTGTACCTGGCTTTAGCCTTTGCCACCTCCTTGCTAAAACTTTACTTGGCACATTTGTAGCGGTCTCTGTCACCTTCCCTGATAACCACCTCTTTCTGCTGACGGAGCTGCCGGAGCTTTGATGTAAACCAGGGCTTGTTGTTGTTGTATTTCACCCTGGTATGCTGTGGGATGACGCTGTCTTCACAGAAATGAATATACAACGTCACAGTGTCTGTGTAATTGTCTAAACTGTCTGTAGAAGCCTTAAATATCCCAGTCTGTGGTGTCCAAGCACATGCGAAGCACCTCCACAGCTTCACTGGTCCACACTTTGGATGTCCTCACTACAGGTTTACAGAGTTTTAGTCTCTGTCTGTATGCGGGGATCAGGTGAACCGTGGCGTGATCTGAGAGTTCCAAAGCTGTGCGAGCCACAGCGCAATAGGCACCACTCACTGCAGTGTAACAGTGATCTAATGTGTTCCCCTCTCTGGTCAGGCATGTTACAAACTGTTTGTATTTTGGTAGTTCCTGACTGAGATTTCCTTTGTTAAAATCACTGAGTATTATAACCAAGGAGTCTGGAAAATTCCTCTCTACGCCCATAACCTGCTCCGCAAGTGCATGCTCGGCCTCGTGCACGTCCGCACTTGGTGGAATGTAAATGTGAATGTGAATTTCCCAGTTTGGGATCAATAAAGTATATCTATCTATCTATCTAAACAGAGCAGAGTATGAATGAGACAAACTCACGTGGAGAGTAGAACAGTTTGCAGTTTATGAAGAGATATTCCAGAGACGGAGAACAGTTTTGGGAGATCACAGTCACGTCGGAGCACCAGGCATTGTTGGTGTAGAAGCAGACTCCTCCACCCTTTGTTTTCCCACCGGAGAGTACACGATCTCTGTCTGTACGGAGGAGCTGAAAACCCTCCAGTTGTAAGTCCAGGGGTCAGTGTTTGGACCTGATGACACTCAGCTGGATCTCCCTGGAGAACCAAACACACCTAAACCTGCTCAAACCCCACAGACTGAAAAACCCAGAACCAGAACCAGAACCAGCTTTATTAGACAAGTATGTGTACACATACAAGAGACTGGACCCCAGTCGAGTTTCCCCTCTGTGTTCAAACCAAACTTAAGCTGAAACTGCAGATCCAGGATGGCCATTTAATCAAACATGAACAAACTTGGACAAGAGCTGAGTCCGAGACCGCACAGAGGTTTACAGTTATCAATCAGGATGAAGTTTTTCCAGAACTGGGTCAGAGGAGACAGAGCTTTTCCTGCTCCTACATTATGGAATGATTTACCTCTCCACATTAGACGAGCTCCTTCACTGTCCACTTTTAAAACCTGTCTAAAAAGACACTTTTATTCCTTGGCTTTTGATCCAGCATGAGTTCACACTGCAGGTTATGATGCACAATTCGGATTTTTTGTTAAATCTGATCTTTTTGTGCGGTCATTCACATTACAACAACGAATGCGGCATCTAATGTGAACGGAATGCGTCCGTGAAGTGACCCGCATGCGTGGTGGTGTGAATACATTTCAAATATAGCCATGTTACATTATGGTACTTTGACAGGGGTACATGATTTATTAGAGATTAAGTATAGGTACATACATACAACATAACAAAATACACGTAGGTCTCAGTTGACGTTACAGCCTGTCATCAGTTACAGGACTAAACCAGGATTCAGTTTTGTGTTTAAATGCAACATTTTGAAGACACGTTATCACTCAAGAGACATATTTCGTAAATTGCTTTGACAACAGTGCTATCCTTCAATCATAAACTTATGAATAACTCACCTGGGCTGGCTGCTGTGGTGGTGCCTGGAGAGTCAGCGGGGTCCTCTATGGAGCTGTCAAGCAGCTCTAAAGGCAGACAGCTGGGTTTGTCACCCAGAATTTTATCCAGCTCTTCACAAAATGGACAGGTTACACGGCCGCGTCCACTGCTTTGGCTCATGTCCTTTGTCTCTTTATATTTACCGCAAAGGCTTTTGACTTTCTGCTGGCACTGTAGCCAGGAATGCTCGATGCCTTGCTTGGCCAATTCCTTGGCAATTTCCTCAAAAATCACCCAGTTACGGTATGAGCCCTTTATTTTGGCTTGAACTGACTGGTCTCCCCATATATATATCAACTCTAGTGTTTCTTTTTTCGCCACTGGCTGTTCACCGTTCCCTCATCCGCCAATGCTTTCTGAGCCTGTTTGTGTTGTCAAGCAATGGTGACGTTTGTCGCAGATTGGTGATGTATAGGTCGGAAGAACGCGACCTGAGTGTCCATACTACAGTCACATCGGATACATATCCGATTTATATCCACATACAAAAGAGGCCTGGGTCGGATTTGAATAAATCTGAATTGCACTGTTCACACTTACATGAAAAAATCAGATATGTGTCACATATGGATTCAGATTCAAACAACTTCATTTATTCCCTAAGGACAATTCCATTCACAGTTACCCTGCCGTTTGATCTATCCGAACACACAAATCAGCAGACAAACAAACCAGACAAGTGCAAGACATTAATAGCAGCCAGTAGACAACAACATTCCCTTGTCAGTACTCATAGATCAGCGGGATCAGCAATAAATAGCTAAATAAGTACAATAAGCTCAAGTTCCACAGAGCAATGGTTAAAATACAATAAGATCCACAAGTATGAGACACAAGATAAGAAATAAAACACTCCTGAAGCTCCAGTTCAGCACAGGCCACATATGACTATCAGCCTACTTCCTGGCATTTAAAAGCCTGATGGCTGAGGGGATAAAAGAGTTTGAGTATCTGTTCGTTTTCCTTGAGGGTGCATAGTAGCGCCGCCAAGAAGGCATAAGAAGAAAGTCAGAGAACAGAATATGTCCAGGCTGATCCAAAATTCCTCTGGCTTTCTTGACCACACGCTTCTCCCAAAGAGAGCTCAGGTCTGTCATCTGCACTCCTATAATCTTGGAGCGGACTTTAACAATCTACTTCAGGCTGTTTCTGTTCTTTACTGATAGTCCAATAAATCAGCAGATGAAAACGTTAACAGACTTTCAATAAAAGAATGATAAAAACAAGATAAAATCCCCTCAGAAACACCAAAGGAGTTCAGCTTCCACAACAAGTAAATCCTTTGTTGGCCACATTTAACTATTGACTCTGTATTGCACACGAACTTTAAGTCAGAGTCAAACACAGTTCCAAGATACTTTTAGGAGTCCACGATTTGCACACTTTCTCATGGATGATGCTAGCCTCGGGTGAAAGCCCTGGGCCTTTCCTTCTGAAGTCAATGATCAGTTCCTTTGTCTTTTGGACATTGAGGTTGAGGAGGCTGTTGTCACACCATTCAACAAACACTGATAAAGCATCCCCATGACCTGACTCAGAACCCTCAAGAAGAGACAGCAGAGCCGTGTCATTGGAGAATTTGACAAGATAGCTGCTGTCTTGGCTAGCCCTACAGCTGTCTGTGTACAGGATAAAAAGCAGGGGAGAGAGGACACAGCCCTGAGAACCAGTGTTGGATAATAATAGTTTGGACATGTGACCATTTACCAGGACCCGTTGGACTCTATTTGTTAAAAAATTCAAGAGCAGTAGTAAAATCTGACTCAGCAATTTAAAAGAAGAGGGGAGTCTCTTGATTAAAATATGAGGCTTTATTAAAGGGGACCTGCCATCAAAATTTCATACCCATTTTTATCATTTTTTCATAATCCTTGATATCTTCTGATCATGTTTGCAACATAATTTTAGCTGAAAGTTATTTGATGGTTTGTTTTAGTATGCCTGAAAACCAACTGATTTTGGCTCATTAACATTTATAGTAATGAGCTTTGCTCTGATTTGATCGCTGCTGTGAAGCCTGCTGTGCTCTGATTGGCTCAGCAGTGGAGGTTTTGATTTCGGTTTAGCCATTGTTATTATGCTAGTAGCATATGCTAATGTGTGCTAAAGTAAGGTGCCCAGATGTCTGTAATGATATCCAGGGATATTCGGTGCGGCGGCGGCAGGGGCTGCAGGGGCTGCAGGGGCTGTGTGATCAAACAAAATTTCGGTACTTTTTAGTAGCAGCACATGCCCCTTGTAATAACCCCCGTAAGAACTGTTGTTCAGGACTGCTTACTTGTGCTTCCTACCTATTCGGCTACTGTAATAACCGTTGTTCGAGCCCACACGCAACATTTTTGCTCTCATTCATGAAACGCTTAAATCAGGGACATTTTCAGGGACAGCTTTTGCCGGGGACAGGTCATCCAATTCGGGGACTGTCCCCGGAAATCAGGGACGTCTGGTCACCTTATGCTAAAGGCTAAAAACGGCAGGTATTAAACCATATATTTTAGACCCCGAGTCCGAAGAGGAGGTGGAAGTTTTCCCAGCAGGGAACCGAAGGAAACACCGGTCGTTTGGAAGAGACCCATAGCGGATACAGTGGTAGCTGGGTCTCGCTCTGGCTGTGACTGAGTACGAGAACGAGAGAGTGGGCGCGGCTCACCAAGGACACGCTCGTGAATAATAATGAGCAATGTCAACGCAATGTCAGATTGACCTGCTTTTTCAATTGGCCTGGTTTACCCGTTCCTTTATTTTAAACCTTTACAGAATGCAAATGACGTAATGGTTTGTTTTCACATTTACAACATAAGACGAACATAATATGGACCTTATCTGACACAAAAAAACCCCAAAATTACATTTTTATGGCAGGTCCCCTTTAAAAAGGAGGCTTTATTAAAAGCTGATAAAAATTCAGCAAATAAAAGTCTAGCATGACATCCTGTTTTTTCAAGGTGCCTATAAACTCTGTCTAAAATAAGAAGCTTGGCATCCTCCACACTTCTCCTGGCTTGATAGGCAAACTGTAGAGGGTTGAGTTTGCCCTCAATTAAGGAGATGACTTCTTCTTTTAAAATGTTTTCAAATGATTTCATCACCAAGGATGTCAGGGCCACAGGTCAAAAATCATTTAAATCTTTTGGTTTATTTGACTGAGGCACAGGAATTATGGTATGGCATGGTCTTTATTGTCATTGCAACTGTGCACAACGAAATTGCATTTACAGATGTGGAAAGTACACACAAGAGGGAGGGAGAGGAGGAGGTACCTGGACTGACTCCACTCATTAATATGAGTGCAGTGACAGAAAAACCCTCAGCAACATGAGCACATTACTGACACCACATACACAGAGATTCGGAGACATGCTATGGTTGTGGGGGGTGAGTAGTGGAATGGGTCATCAGTGATGGTAGGAAGCCCACAGCTGCTGCCCACAGGCGCAGCCAGTCAGGGTACCACCCACCGCACTGAGGGGTGAAGCGTCAAAGGCGTTAGGTGGGGGAGAGGTGAGTGTGTGCGTATGTGCATGTGTGTGAAGGTTCATGGATGTGTGTGTGCGTAGGCCCAGGAGGTCACTCCGTCCATCGCCACAATCTTGGTGCCGCAGGGTGTCAGCGCGATAGCACAGCGGTTGTTGTGGTGATGACCTTGATTGAGTTCCAGACAAAGTCAACAATCTGCAGGTGTCCGTGAAGGAGGGGGTTGGGGAGGAAAGTTCAGAGCGTCGAATTGCTGAGATCTCCTGGAGGAGTTGTGCCAGCATCGACCTTGGCCAAGGCCGATACCGAGGGAGCGGAATAGTGGATTAGAATATTTGGGTTAGAGCGAGTAGCCACATTCCAATAGACTTCGGCTACTCTGATTGTCCATCCTGGTCTCTATATCGATCCATTGTCTTCTGCAAAGTCGAAAGCCTCTCCAAAATGACATTTCCCTTGCAATCCCCAATCATTCATTGATGTTGAAGATTGGAGACCGCCCCAGAAAGAGTTCCTACGGCTTTGCCCACCTCAAAAATCATGACGGGCAGCCTTTGGGGGCTCTTGACCACTGCCAGCATCTCCTTGTTTGTAGATAAATCAGGGCAAAAGCCAAACAGCAACAGACCTGTTATCATGGTTCCGAAAAGGTAGACATCTTCCACATCCTCCATGGAAAGGACCGACAGGCACGCGACACGCCACTTCCCCCAGCTGTCCATCACGTAGCCCACGGCGGACGTTCCGTCGGGGCAGGCAGGTTCCCCCGAAACCTCCAATCTTGTCACTCGCGTTGAGAGACCAGTTGATCAATTCCATGGTTGGTTTCGGAGATCAGGCAGTGAGAAGCTCTGAGAGTTTCAGACAAAACGGGACGAGACGAAGAGGCAAAGCAGGGGGCAGGGAGATAGGGGAGAGGGGAGAAATGCGACCGCCTTTCGTTGAGAGCCGGAAGGAACTATGATTGTTGCTGTTTTCCAAATCAATGGAATCTCACTCAAAAGATAAGTGAACACCTCACTGAGCTGGACAGCACAGTGACGCAGTGTGCGTCCACAGATGAAGTCAGGGCCAGCAGCCTTCCTAATGTCAACTCTACTGAACAAAGATGTGACTATTTCCTGGGCAATCACCAAGACAGAATCATTAACAAGGGACGCTCTCAACATGGAAATATTACAAAGGAAATCAGACCTTTTCCAATGAGAAAAAAATGAATTAAAGACGTCTGCCAAGTCATTGTCACTCACATCACTGACTGTGACAGGATGCTTAGTTTGAGTGGACTGGTTGATGGATGCCATGGACTTAATTCCACTCCAGGCTGCCCTAAGGTCTCCCCCACTAAACTGGTTTTCAATTTTATTCCTATACTCCAATTTTGCCGTCTTTACTTCTGCCTTTACCTCCCTGGAGGTAGCTTTTATCTCTAGTGGCACCCCAGAATAGAAGACCCTTTTCTTATTATTGATGACTGATTTCAGTTCTTTTGTGACCCAAGGCTTATTATTTGGGTAAGTAGCCACCTTCTAAGTTGGAATAACCAGGTCCACACAAAAAGTAATGTAAGAGGATATTGTCTCTGTAAGTTTGTTCGTATCCTCACATGCATTGTAAAAGCACTGCCAGTCTGTGCACTCAAAGCATGCTTGAGGAGAGGAAATGCTGCTTTCTGACCACTTTTTTACCGTCTTTTCCCCATTTTTGAGGCTGAAAGTGAGGAATGTACAGGGGAAATGTACAATGAGAAAAACACTGTTGTGATAAGAAGCACCAAAAGACGGCATAGGCAGAGATTTATAAGTTTCACTGACTGAGCCATAACACAGATCCAAAGTTGTGTTCTTCCATGCACAGGTGACATATTGATCATAAGTTCTCAGAGTTTTGTCAAGTTTACAATGATTAAAATCCCCAAGGATAAATTTGGGTGCATCTGGGCATATCGAGTCCACAAATTGCGTGACGTCAGCAATCAGCTGGGCAGCAGCTGACGCATTGGCTCGTGGATGAATGTACACTAAAGTGAAAAACAGTTGTTGGAATTCGCGAGGCAGATACAACGGGCGGAGAGAGATAGACAGCAGCTCGATATCTGCCGTACATATCCTCTTCCTGACCACGACGGTTTTACAGTACCTTTGGTTTACGTAGAAACATACTCCTCCTCCGCGACTCTTCCCGGTGGCGTCCGGGGACCGGTCCAGCCAAATAGGGCATCCAAACCCACTTAGCTGCAGGTCAGAGTCTGGGAACGATTCACCGTGCCATGTTTCCGTAAAAGCAAGGAGACATGTGTCTTTTATTTCCCTTTCGAACTTGGCGCTCGCCTCCAATTCATCTATTTTGTGCCGGATAGACTGCACATTTGACAGCAGGACAGTGGGAAGAGGCGGAAGCTTACGGCGGCTATCAAGCCGGAGATTCTTCAGTCTACAGTGAATTCCACCTCTTCTTCCCCATTTCCTACCCTCCTTAGATGGCTTACGAAGCTCCGCCGGAATGTTTGCAGGAACATTGCCGGCTGTAGACATGGTTAAAGGGGACCTGCCATCAAAAATGTAATTTTGTGTGTTTTTGTGTCAGATAAGGTCCATATTATGTTCGTCTTATGTTGTAAATGTGAAAACATACCGTTACGTCGTTTGCATTCTGTAAAGGTTTAAAAAAAAAGAAACGGGTAAACCAGGCCAATTGAAAAAAAAGGTCCTTCTGACGTCGCACTGACTTTGCTCATTATTATTCACGACCGCGTCCTCGGTGAGCTGCGCCCACTCTCTCGTTCTCATACCCAGTCACAGTCAACATCACTCTCCAGCCAGAGCGAGACCCAGCTACCGATGTATCCGCTATTGGTCTCTTCCAAACGACCGGTGTTTCCTTGGGTTCACTGCCGGGAAAATGAACTTAAAGCTGGGCAGAATGAATGAGAAAACACCGCTGGAGATCTCCGGCTTCTTCTTCAACTTCCACCTCCTCTTCGGACTCGGGGTCTAAAATATATGGTTTAATACCTGCCATTTTTAGCCTTTAGCATAAGGTGACCAGACGTCCCCGATTTCCGGGGACAGTCCCCAAATTGGATGACCTGTCCCCGGCAAAAGCTGTCCCCGAAAATGTCCCAGATTTAAGCGTTTCATGAATGAGAGCAAAAATGTTGCATGTGGGCTCGAACAACGGTTATTACAGTTGGTAGGAAACACAAGTAAGCAGTCCTGAACAACAGTTCTTACGGGGGTTATTACAAGGGGCATGCGCTGCTACTAAATAGTACCGAGATGTTGTCTGTGATCACGCAGCCCCTGCACCCCCGCTGCCGCCGCACCGAATGTCCCAGGATTTCATTACAGACATCTGGGTACCTTACTTTAGCACACATTAGCAAAATGGATAAACCGAAATCCAAACTTCCACTGCTGAGCCAATCAGAACACAGCAGGCTTTACAGCAGCGATCCAATCAGAGCAAAGCTCATTACCATAAATGTTAATGAGCCAAAATCAGTTGGTTTTCCTGTAAGGTTTTTTAGGCATACTAAAAACAAACCATCAAATAACTTTTCAGCTAAAATTATGCAAACATGATCAGAGGACATCAAGGATTATGAAAAAATGATAAAAATGGGTATGAAATTTTGATGGCAGGTCCCCTTTAAAAAATCGGAATTGACCTGCAGTGTGAACACAGCTTTTTATTGCCTTTTTATTATCACTATTTCTTGTTGTTTTATGTTTTTATGTTATTATGTACAGCACTCTGTGTTAGCTTTGGTTGAGTTGAGAGTTTTAGTGAGAGCTGCTGTGGTCCTCTCTCCATGATGAGACGGTCTCTAACAGGGTCAATCTGAAGGTCAGGGTCAGTCTGAAGGTCATGGCCTAACCATGGTCAGTTTTTGTTGTAGGTCCTGTCTCGAACATTCGCAGAAACTTGGAGACGGCGGCGCTGTCGGTCAGCTGTAACCTGGACCTGCAGGTCCATCACAGCAGGATCCTTTGGAGAGACGCCATCAGACCGTTCGTCCTCATCACACAGGACCTCATGGTGAGAGTTAACATCTGACCTTCTGAGCTGAAGATCATTGATCAGTTTTAACCATCAGAAATAACCAGGAAGTGTCTGTGTGGAGGCTGAGCTTTGATTGGACAGGAGGACTGACCTTCCTCCTCTTCTTCAGGATGATGAAGAAAAGTTTCAGTCTGAGGCTCTGATCGTCAGCAGGAAGTTTCAGAACATCAGAGACGAGGTCGTCCTTCAGTACGGATATGACCGCTTCAAAAACCCCACTGCCGCCACCGCCATGGGCAACAGCACGCAGCAGCAGTTCAGCGCCAAGACCATGATGCAGTGTGACAGTGAGAGGAGCGCTGATCTGAACATGTTTGATTTTATCAAGACTGTGTGTTCATGTATGTGTGTGTGTGTGCGTGCGTGCGTGCGTGCGTGTGTGTGTGTGTTCTCCAGGTGTGGTGGATGAGGGTGTGCAGCGATGTGCTGATTGGTTCAGCCTCAGGTGGGCGAAGTGTATGGAGGCGATCCCTGTCCCCGTCGTTAACCATGTGCTCTGTGTGTCCATGAAGTTCCACTTCCTGTGTGGGGTCTTGAGAGGTGAGAGGACACTGTGGTTGACCTTCACTTCTCGCTCTCCTAAATCAAGACCTCCTCTGCATCATCATATCTTCATTGAGGTCCTCATTGAGTTATTAGACCTTTGTTCCTCCCCCTCCTCCTTCTCCTCCTCCTCTCCTCTTCCTCCGCCTTCTCCTCCTCCCAGTCATGACTCCATGGTGTAGGGAGCAGATTCCTGTGGAGGAGAACTTTGGTCAGCTCTTCGATCAGTTAAACTCCTCAGTTCACCTCCTCTCCAAGGAGTTCAGCACACAGCTCCTCCTACAGGTCAGAGACCATAAAGACACCTGGACTGACTCCTCCTCCTCTAACACCTGGACTGACTCCTCCTCTAACACCTGGACTGACTCCTCCTCCTCTAACACCTGGACTGACTCCTCTGTACGCTCAGTTTATTGAATCTCTATTTGACCTTTGACCTCTTGCAGGAGCAACAGGAGCAGGAGGTGCTGAGTGGACCGGTTCTGGATGAGGAGTTCACTAAAGCTGTCAGAGGAAACCTCCAGAACCTGAACAGGATGATGGAGCAGCTCCTGGAGGTCCTGCAGCTACTCCTCTCCTTCTCCTTCATCACCATCATCACTCAGTAAGACCCACACGCCACCTCCTCCTCCTGCTCACCACAACAATGACCCTCTTCTCCTCCTTCTTCTCCTTCTCCTGTTCCTTCTCCTCCTTTTCCTCCCCAGAGCGTTCAGTTACCTCCGCCAGTACAGGAGGGATGTCTGCTTTGATAACTTCTACATCACCACCTACTTCAGACAGATCGACACACGCAGGATGAGAGCGGTACCATCATCATCTCCATCATCTCCATCATCTTCATCATCCTCATCACCTGGGTCTGTCTCTGGTTTATTGTTCTTCTGTCTTGTCAGGGGAAACGTCACCTGCTGCCTCTGAACCAATCAGAGAAGAAGAAGTTGGTGGACCCCTGGAGTCCAAGACTCCATCCTGAGGAGCTCAGACAGATGGTGGGTCCAGCTCAAACACTGGTACTCTCAGGGTTTCATTTTGGAGCTGGTCTCTGAGGACCCCTCAGTTCATGAAGAACTGGTCTAAGGGGGACTTCACACCCAGCTGCAGATGGTCAAGACTGGATCAGGTGTTCCTGTGAACACCTGATCCAGTCTGAGTCAGAGGGGCACAAACTCAGACAAGGTACTGCATGGAATACTCCAGACCTGCAAGAGGATTTAGGTGGAAAAACTGTTACCCAGGACTTTCAACGCATACAGAACAGCGGCGATTTTTGTCGTCCACCAGTTCCTACTGGATCCGTTTGTGAGGTGAATTTCGTGGCGGATTACAGACAGCGGTGATCACGAGAACTCACAAGAACCCATGGATTCACATTCAATATAGAGATAGTTGTCTCTATAAAGACTGCTACATAGACATATAAGCAGTAGATTCTGTGCTTCCAGAGGAGAAATTCTACTTCTAGACTTCTAGAATCAGCATCTCCTCATCCATGGTGTAATCGGGGTGGAATGACGTCTAAAAAACGTTCACTTGTTCGGCTCCGCCCATTTGCATGATGTGAAATACGATCCTCCTTAAACACGGAGTGTTTCATTTTGAAAAGAAACCAGATGCTTTATTTTGTGTCTGTGCCTGACTTCCTTTCCTGCACGGGTTAATCTGTGCTGGATTTATGCACCATAGAACTCTTGTGATCAGCTGTGGAGTCCGGCAATCTGCAGCGGAACGGAAAGAAGCTGGTGGAAATTGACACATTAACTTGAATAGTTACAATCAGTTATGATCAGAGGATACAACGTTTTCGTAGACGTTCAGGATGAGGTGGAAACTGGGAGTCAGGCAGGGAAGGATCTGCACTGAGGTCTGGGTCTCTTTCAGGTTGAATCAGGGGTCACTGTGTGTGTGTGTGTGTGTGTGTGTGTGTGTGTGTGTGTGTGTGTGTGTGTGTGTGTGTGTGTGTGTGTGTCTCAGACATCGGGTGTGTTTCAGGTTTTCTCCGTCGCTCTGCTCTCTCTTGTCCTTCTGTCCATCGACTTCTCTCTCCACCACGTGTTGGACATCATCAGCAGACACACCTTCATCCAGCTCAACCTGACCAGTGAGCGCACACAGGCACACACGCACGCACACACGACACAAATATACACACGCACTCTTTAACGTCAAAGAGGACGACTACAGGAAGTCCTCTCTGCAGGTCATCATCAGGTGGACATCAGAGTGGGCGGAGACTCCATGATGGCCCGCCTCCTCAGGAAGACTGTGTCAGCTTTCAACAGCTCTTCAGTCCTCGACATTCGTGCTGACAACCAGGGTAAGTCTTTTCTATTTTTTTATTTTTTAACTATTTACATTTTTATTTATTTTGTAACTCTTTATTTACTTTTTGCATCTTTTGACTCTTTATTTACTTTTTTTTTTTAATCTTTTAAGATCATATTTATTTTTTTCAATAATTTATTTACTTTTTTAAAACTCTTTTTTAAAACTCTTTATTTACTTTTTTCTTAACTCTTTATAACTTTTTTTTTTAAACTTTTTTTTTTAACTCCTTATTTATTTTTTAAAACTCTATTTATTCTCTTTATAACTCTTTATTTACTCTTTTTAAATCTTTCTAAACTCGTTTTTTCCCTGTGTTCTGCTGTCTGTTTGCTCTTTAATGCTTGAGGGTGTCTTCAGCATGTTTCACATGGCAGTGCTCTGATCTTCCAACAGAGGGCGACAGCCTCATTAAGATCATGTCCTCTTTTCTCTCTGAGAAACTGAACAGTGATGAGACAATGACCCTCAAACTCAGATGACCGGCTGTGTGTTTGTTTTGTGTGTGTGTTTTCCCCTTTTGTCTCACCATAGCTGCCCAGGTGAAGTCACTGAGTGACAATTTTGAAGACTTGTGTCCATTTGTGTTGTGGTGGCGACAGTCACTTTTGTTGGATCTTTTGTGTGCTGTTTGTGACAGATAGTGTTGTAGTTCTGACTACTTTTGCTGACCCGTTTGTGTGTGACTGTTCACGCCACTTTAGTGTTAGACATCTGTTACTGTGTGTGGTATTGGCAAATTTTGTGTTTTGCTCTTTGTGTTTGTGTTAACCTCATGGTAGAAGCCATTTTGCTTTGTGGGAGTGGCACCCACTTAATTGGCTACTTTTGGGATGGATGCGCTTAAATTTGGTTGCAGCATCTTCTGTGGCCCTAATGATTGAATAAGGTTTTGTGTTCCTCATGACCCATTTTGCACCTTTTTGTCAGCAGTGGTTGTCTTCAGTTTTGGTGAAGAGTGAATTTTTTTTTTTTTTTTTTTTTTTTTTCAAGCTTGTGCAGTGGCCTGTGTTTTGTGACACACAGTCTTGGTGAGTAACACCAATTTAGTTAGTTTCATGTTTTAATATAGTTGGCACAATGCACTTTAATTCAATGAATTGTTGAAGGTGTTTTGTTAATTTAATGGGTCAAAAGATGAGGATAGTTGTTAGCCCCATAGGGCTGCCTTCGGGTGGGGCGTAACATTCAGTCGACCTTGAATTCTCTAATATCCTTCTAACTCGCTCTGATTGTGTCGGCTGCAGGACTTGAAGTTTGTCATGTTTTATTGAATGATACTAACCCCCTCCCCTTTTATCCCCCTCCCCCAGTGTGTGTGTCTTCCCCCTCCTCCCTCCCAGCAGGTGTGTATATCAGCTGTGTCTTTTGTGTCCTGCTGGTGGCGCTCTTTAGCTGTCTGCAGGTTTACACCAACCGCCTCAGACGGGCCATCGCCGCCTTTTTCCACCCAAAGGTACGAACAGGTCATGTGACAGGTGACAAGAGCAGGTGTCTGAACTACAAACGATCATAAAAACTACAAAGATGGGGGGAGCGTGTACCTGCAGGGCTGTGACCCACTGTCCAGGTGTTCAGGGTCAGAACTCAATGACCAGGACGGGATGATAATGCAGCAGTTTAAGGAAAGTGCTGAGAGCAGAGAGTGAAGTCTTTGTAATGAGATTACAGTTTGGACAGATGAGCTCGTCATTACCTGAGGATCAGGACCAATCAGAGCTGCCCGCTGTCCCCAACAGACCAGGATTAGAGACAATACACCTGAGGGACAAAAGGAACCTGAACCCTGAAACAACGCACTGATGTCACTACCTCTCTCTCTCTCTCTCTCACACACACACACACACACACACACACACACACACACACACACACACACACACACACTCACTGTGTTTAAACTCTATTAGCTGCAGTAAATCTGATCAGAGAGACAATTAATGTAAGGGGATCAGAGCGAAGCAGGAGGGCGAGAGACAGAGAGAAAGCGAGAGAGAGAGAGAGAGAGAGAGAGAGTAAGAGTTTTCAGTTTTGTTTTTATCGATCATTTCCACAGTGACTCTTCTCAGTCTCCCTCGATGAACACATATGAGTGTAAAACAAACAGATTTAAAGCTGCAGTAGGGAGTTTTTATGACGACAACGACGGCAAAGGAGTTTATAAATTCAGACATTTGAAGCTGAGAGCAGAGGAAGTGTCAGACAGGCAAACCTTTAAACACTACTTCATCAGAACCAGAACCAGAACCAGCTTTATTGGCCAAGTCTCCCACACATTCAAACAGTCTGAGTCAAGTGAACTTCGCCCTCCGTGAACAAACACTAATCATGTTCTGGCTGTGATGATGGGATGGTGAGGGCTGATGAGTGAGTGAAGCATATGTACATTTAAAGGGGGGAGGGGGCAAACTTGACCGGACAGAAAGTTCCTCTTTGGTTCCTTTTTGTGTCTAAATGTTTTAAACTCTAACCCTAACTCTGTGTGTGTGTGTGTGTGTGTGTGTGTGTGTGTGTGTGTGTGTGTGTGTGTGTGTGTGTGTGTGTGTGTCTCAGAGGGAGAAGAGCAGAACCTTATTTCTCTATAACCTACAGCTCCAGAGGAGGATTTCCTGTCCTGACAGGAAACGCATCATCACTAGTGGACAGAGCAGCAGGACGGTGAGGGACGCATGTTTTTTTTTTATTTTAATTGTAGGCGGTCTGGGACTGTCCCTCGCACAATATTTTTTTTTTTGTAGGATGGTATGGGGAAGGTCTCGCCTCTTTCGCCTCTGATTGGCTGTGAAAAGTCATCACACACTCAAGCCAAGCGCAGGCCGTGGGCTCTGAACTTTGAACAGAACATTACAGAACCTGAAGCTGCAGCTATAAGGAATAACCAATCGGCGCTCAGCACTTCTCGCCAATAAGAGGCAAAGGAGGGCGGGACCTTCCTCTACCATCTTACAAAAAAAAAGTTGTGTCTGGGAAAGTGGGAGGGGATGAGTCGGAACTACAGGAGAGGGGTGTGTTGAATACAGCGAGGTAATTGGATGGAGAGGCGGAGCAGGAGATTGACCAATAGAAGCTGTCCAGGAAGGATGGCTCCCATTGGTCAATGTTTTTCCATTCTTTTTCTCTTCACTTTGTAGAGATTGCACTATAGGACCATGATCGCCATAGAAACGAGGTTCATGATAATTACCAACCTTACAATCGTCAACCATGACTTTAAGGTCTGAAGGGTCCACTCACAGGGGGCGGAGCCTCTGCAGAGATGCACGAATGGGGGCCGAGTTTTTCGGGGTCGGACTGGGATCAGGTCTGTGTCTGTTTGTCTGTAGGATGTCTGGGTCCACTATCAGACCAGAGTCCGGGGGGTATTCCACGAAGCTGGCTAAAGAAGGCTGGGCTATCACCGGTAAGCGTGGCTTGAGTAAGCGGCCACTTTAATCTTAGCTGCGACTCGTTCCACTAACGAGGCTCAGCTGTTTTTCAGAGACGCTTATTCTAGCCAGGCTGATCCAAGCTGCGGCTACGCGCGCCTCCGCGGTACATAATAAGCCCCGACGTATCGATTGTCGAAATGACAAGATCATGGTAAAAAAAAGGGCAGAGCGGAGTCTTTCTCAGCGGCGGAGCAAACACTTCTCATGGAGTTGTACGAAGAGTACAAGGGAAAAATTCAAAAGAAGGGCAACACTATTGCCATTGTGAAAGCCAGGGAGATGGTGTGGCAAAGTATCGCGGACCGTTTAGATTCATAAGTTATAGCCAACAAATATTTTACAACCGACGCATGTCTCGATGCAGTCAGCCTGCTTGGCTGTCTAATTTTATTCCTCACTTCTGCTTATGTACTGTAAACACTTCTGTTTAACTTTTCATCTCGTGTATGTGCAGCTCACTCATACAGTCTGTCAGCCTCTGTGCAGCACCTTCGCAGCAAGCAGGGGCGCCTACAGCAACAGGGGGCGCCAATTTGACAAGAGTTAATACAAAACTGCTTTGCGGTGCAGATTTATTATTATTACTTTTTTTCTTTCTTTTTTGGAAGTGCTCATGCCGCCCCCCATGAGTCATAACACAAATGCCGCCCTGGGCGGCTGCCCGGTTCGCCCGTGCCTAGAACCGCTACTGTACTGTAGGCATAATTCATGTTCTTGATTTGACAAATAGAGATCCATAATGGATTAGTATAGCAGCTACAGGTAAGACCAAAAACCAAAGTAGGCAAAAAAAAAGAAGAAAAACATGTACCTGGAGATGTCTTTTTTTATTTATTTATTTATTTGTTAGGGATGATAGTGGCACAGCACCCTTCATTTAAATAAGGGAGAAGACACAAATGAGCTTGTACACAGAGTAGTCATGTCGTCATTTGCCATCACCTTTACATTATCATCATCATAATCACAATGGACCACTGGTGAAAGGAAGGTTTTTTTAATGGGAAATTGTTGCTGTTGTCGCCTTCAGTGTTTTGGATGAGATCATTTGTGCCTTTATTCTGTTATGTGTTGACAGTACATTGAGAGTCACAGAATAAAAGAAAGAAAGTCAGATATTTCCAAATAATTACAGCTGATGGGATCGAACCCACAGAGCAGTGAAAAACACATTTTACCGGCACTTCTCTTTACCCACTCAGCAACTGAATTTCTCTTTCTCTTTGAGGTTGGCGTAGTATTGGGCATGTCCGGATTCACGTATTCCTAAGTTGTTTTAAAAAGCTCTCAATTTATTTTTCCGAACAAGGGCATCATTTATTACAGATAAAGATGAAATTACTGTGTGACATGCGGTTCACAAAGCGTCTTCTGGAAGCCTGTCGGACCCTCTCTGAGACGCAGCTAAGGTTAGCTTGACCGTAAGCCTGCCTGGGACCAGGCTTGTCGCGCTGGCTGAGTTACCATGGTTACCAAGCCACACTAGCCCTAAGCCTCGTTTGTGGAACCGAACTCTCACTAAAATTTGCCGAGCTAATCGAAATAAGCCAGGCTTTGAGCTAAGCCAGCTTCGTGGAATACCCCCCAGGTCCTCAGGTCTAGTCTGGACTCTGTGATCTCAGGATTTCCTCATTCTTTCATTTTCACTCAGTCATCCTGTCATCATCTACTCCTGAAGGTCCTGGACCGTCTCTGCAGTCTGGGACGTGGTCTCTGTGGGGGTCCAGAACAGGAGGAGTCAGACCGAGAGGAGACGCACCAAGACCCCTGTTAGACCAGGACCAGGTCTGACCTGCTGCTGCTGCAGAAGAAGAAACCTTGACCTTTAACCTCTGTGACAGTAAAACCATAAAGGGGGTCAGGTCTCTGAGTCTGAGTCTGTCAGTCTGGGACATGAAGAATGGCCTGAAGGAGTCCCAAGTCGATTAAAGTCATCTGCTTTGAGTTAACAATAAATCATTTGGATATATACCTAGTATGCACAATTTTACTTGAAGGGGCACTTTAATCCCTACAACTTCAGATACAATCTTAACCACTGTTTTCCCATATTCATTAAGTTTTGGACATTCCCATACACAATGAAAAAGGGCGCCCTTTAAGACATTGAACACAGATGTCCGGGATGTCAGGGGAGCATCGGGTCAGTTTGACCAGAGTAATGTAAGTTCTCATGAACCATTTGTACAGTAATAGTCTCATTCTTGCATTGAAAGATTGCTTTTGGGCTTTTAAGCATGTTAATTCCCAATCAGCCTCATGTATCTCTTCTTGAATATCTAGTGTCCACGCCTCAAGTCTGTCAGCTGAGGATTCCTTATCATGTGACATCAGAGCTGCATAAAACAGAGATCTGACCTCTCCCATTTAGGTTTGATAGTGTGATATTTGCAAGCTGTGACAATGGTGGTGGTTTAGTTAGCATCTGCTTATATTTGTGCTTTATGAAATGTTTCAATTGTAAATGTTTAAAATGTTTTCAACTTTACAACTGATCAAATGTGAGGAAATCATCATCTATATAAAGGTCCTCTATTTTCCACACACCCTTATTCGCCCAGATCTTAAAACCGCCATCTGCCCTTCCAGCTCTGAAATGTGCATTACCCCATATAGGGGAGAAAAGATATAGAGGGAGTATCTTTAATATATTGATGTGTTTTATACCAGATGTCAATAGTATTTTGAAGGAAAGGGTTCTTTCTTGTCAGGGTCCATTATGTAAACAGAGTTTTCAGAGTTTGACTCCAGAGCAGCAGATTTGAGGATCTTGGAAATCAAAGATCAATAATTAATAACTTCATAACTAAAATGTGTGTGTGTGTGGGCATGTGTGTGTGCACACTCACACATACACACATGCACATGTGTGTATGTGTGTGTGCACATATGTATGTATGCTGGTCACCTGAGCAGCTTACACACACACACTCACATACAGGGGTGTGTATAATCCGCTGATCAGCAGCAGGATCCAGACTCTCCTGATGTTCTTCTGGACCTCAGGGCTGTTTTTACTCTCAGATCTGCATCACTTCGGACAAAAGCGTCTGAGACTTTGTGACCGTCGTCTTCAGGTTCGACTTTAAAACCTGCAGAAAAAATGAAAACAGGATCTTTCCTCTGACCTGAGATCTGCTGAAGACACACAGACCTTTGAGGCTGTGAGAATGGTCCCTGCAGATTTTTACATTTTAATACTTGATATAAATTAAATATAAACTGTGTATATACACTCACCGGCCACTTTATTAGGTACACCTGTCCAACTGCTCGTTAACACTTAATTTCTAATCAGCCAATCACATGGCGGCAACTTAGTGCATTTAGGCATGTAGACATGGTCAAGACTATCTCCTGCAGTTCAAACCGAGCATCAGTATGGGGAAGAAAGGTGATTTGAGTGACTTTGAACGTGGCATGGTTGTTGGTGCCAGAAGGGCTGGTCTGAGTATTTCAGAAACTGCTGATCTACTGGGATTTTCACGCACAACCATCTCTAGGGTTTACAGAGAATGGTCCGAAAAAGAAAAAATATCCAGTGAGCGGCACTTCTGTGGGCGGAAATGCCTTGTTGATGCCAGAGGTCAGAGGAGAATGGCCAGACTGGTTCGAGCTGATAGAAAGGCAACAGTGACTCAAATAACCACCCGTTACAACCAAGGTAGGCAGAAGAGCATCTCTGAACGCACAGTACGTCGAACTTTGAGGCAGATGGGCTACAGCAGCAGGAGACCACGCCGGGTGCCACTCCTTTCAGCTAAGAACAGGAAACTGAGGCTACAATTTGCACAAGCTCATCGAAATTGGACAATAGAAGATTGGAAAAACGTTGCCTGGTCTGATGAGTCTCGATTTCTGCTGTGACATTCGGATGGTAGGGTCAGAATTTGGTGTCAACAACATGAAAGCATGGATCCATCCTGCCTTGTATCAACGGTTCAGGCTGGTGGTGGTGGTGTCATGGTGTGGGGAATATTTTCTTGGCACTCTTTGGGCCCCTTGGTACCAATTGAGCATCGTTGCAACGCCACAGCCTACCTGAGTATTGGTGCTGACCATGTCCATCCCTTTATGACCACAATGTACCCAACTTCTGATGGCTACTTTCAGCAGGATAATGCGCCATGTCATAAAGCTGGAATCATCTCAGACTGGTTTCTTGAACATGACAATGAGTTCACTGTACTCAAATGGCCTCCACAGTCACCAGATCTCAATCCAATAGAGCATCTTTGGGATGTGGTGGAACGGGAGATTCGCATCATGGATGTGCAGCCGACAAATCTGCGGCAACTGTGTGATGCCATCATGTCAATATGGACCAAGCTCTCTGAGGAATGCTTCCAGCACCTTGTTGAATCTATGCCACGAAGAATTGAGGCAGTTCTGAAGGCAAAAGGGGGTCCAACCCGTTACTAGCATGGTGTACCTCATAAAGTGGCCGGTGAGTGTATATACACAGTTGTATTTCAGTTGATATTATTGTCCATACAGTATAATGACAGTCATAACAGATTGGTTGACACTGACAGGATCAATTGAGGAAATCCTTTCAAACTCACAGATGTCGTTTTTCTGGATCTTTAGAAACTAGATCACTTAATCCAGATTCATAGATTCATAGGTTGGAGGGTCTATCATTAGGGCCAGACTGGATTGGGGGATATTTCAGTACCTCTGTGAAGAAGATGGGGGTTGGTTGTTCAGAGGGTTTGGATTTTCCTTGTGGTGTCCCACTGGGGTCAGTGCTGGGCCCTGAATCAGGACTTGTTCTCTGGATAAAAAGAAACTGAGGCTGGTTTTATTTACTAATCACACAAACATATCACATTTTCAGTAATGATTTCCAACAGGTAGAGCAGGAAAACACATCATAACCCAATAAAATGACGGAAATAAATGACGAATAAACAATAACAGGGATGTTTGAAAACCACCAACTTTAGATGGAAATAGATTCAGCTGGACGAGAATCTGCGGGGTTATAAAAGACGAACAAAGACGTGATCATCTCACAGTAAAAAAAAATAGAACATAGAAATCCACTCTCTCTCAGCCCGTCACTGTTGGAGTGTGCTGAAGAAGTGTTTCAGTCAGGATCAGACAAACTGAAAAAAAAAAACACCTTTCAGCAGGTTAAAGGTCCTTACACACCGGGGCCGATATATAGAATGCGAAATTACGAAATATTCGGAGGTGAATTTCACTGCTTGGTTCAGGAGCTGAAACTGTACCACGGTCACTTCAGAACCTATTTTCAGATGTCCATTGGACAATTTGAAGTTCTGCTGAAACAATTAGCTGCAAGTTTGAAGAGGCAGAGGACTAGACACTAGACATGTGTGTGAGACACTAGTGTCGAGATGGCTTTCTGTCATGATAGCATGTACTGAGTCAGGGCCAGTACCAGATAAGCACATGAAACTATGGTAACAACCGTTAGCTTACACACACCAGAGAAATCCCCCCCCCCCCCCCCCCAGGACACGCCCCTGGAATAATGGTGGTAGATAAAGATGTTTTCACAGACCTGACTTTCCTCACCCTCGGGGCTGGTTCTGGTTCTGAACTGGGCGAGTTTAGATTCTCTAAAAACCATCTTAAAAGCTTCATTTTAATTGGACAGCTTTTATTTTGAAAACCCGGTCTGAGTGTATTTCCGGTCAGTCTCCGTTGATTTTACTGAGCTGGATGACGTCAGCGTCAGATCGCGCTTAAAACACGCGCAGATCGGTGTTTCCGGTAACAAACGGCGTTAAAACAGAACCGACCGGAGTCCACACGAACACAGCCGACTTAACTCGGGCGGTTCCGACCCGTTGACGGGTCTTCTTGGCTCCAGGACTTGTTTTTTTTCACAGCTGCGCAATTAAGGACCGGAGAACCGGAGGACCGGGCGGGCTGCCCGGTAGATTAACGCCGAGTCACCGGTCCCTCTCCCCGGACAGCTGAAGTTCTGACCCCGCTGGTTTCTGTGGATGTTATCGGAGAGAGCATGGAGCCGGACCAGAACCTGTCCCGGTGTTCAGACACGCTGAGGTAACTGGACCGGGTCATCTCACCGCACCGACCTGTTACCGGTCCAGTGTCCGGTGACTGGGAGGATGAGCGGGTCTGCGGCTCTGCTGCTGCCGCTGCTGCTGCTGATCAGCGGCCGGGAAACACTCACTGCTGCCCGGACACTGAACGCACCACGAAACGGAGCGGAGCAGCTGGAGGACGGGAGGACGGACGGTACCGGTACCGACGGCCTCACCGGGAGAGGTAACGACCGGAGAGAGATAAACCTGATTAAACTATCCTATCCATGACCTTTGACCTGATTAGGCCTGTTGCCCTGGTAACAGGGTATTGACATCAGTATGTGAATGTGTGTTAAATTAGTGCTGCGTTCACGTGCTGCTCGGATAATCCAGCAGTTTATGAAGCTCCTGAGACGTCAGAGAGTTTAGGTTAACCCTGTCATCGTTAAAACATTCAGGATGAGGACAGCGGTTTATTCTACTGACTTTACCATTTCACTACGAAATAACTGAGTAACTAACTAACTGAGTAACTAACTAATTAACTAAATAACTCAGTAACTAACTGACTGATTAACTAACCAACAAACTACCTGAATAATCAATCAATCAGTTTATGAAGTTTCTGAAACGTCAAAGAGTTAAGGTTCACTCTGTCATTGTTAAAACATTCAGGATGAGAACAGCGGTTTATTCTACTGACTTCACCATTTCACTACTAAATTACTGACTGATTAACTAACTAACTAACTGACCGACTGACTGAGTAACTAACCCACAAACTACCTGAATAATCAATCAATCAGTCTTTATTTATAGAACACTTTTCATACACAACCATATAGCACAGTGTTTTACACAGAAAAAGTAATAAATGAAACAAAAAATACCCTGATCTACCCCAGCACAACCCCTCATCCCCACGATCTAAACACAACAGAAACAGACACACAGTATGCAAAACTTTAGAGAAATCGACCATGAGCTGAAAAAATAAATGCCACAATATTGCAGCATGGGAAAACGTCGCTGATGTGAATGCTTGTATTGACAGGATACGGGTTAGAAAAAAAATATTGACATCCGAAATAATTGCATGAAAAAAATGCTCCCGTTGTGAAAGGACCTTAACAGTGAAAGCACCTGATGTTTTTATATATTCGCACTTCTGTTTGTTTTAGTGAAATTAAATAAGTGGTTCATGTTGTACTGCCCAACGACTAACTGTGAACACAGTGCTATGGTGTTCGTACAAGTAAAATACTGTTGTAATTACAACTTGTATCGCTAATGACAACTACTGACAGCTGACAATTAAAAACAACAGCGACAACGGTCGCTAATGCATGCTTTTATCACCAGTCGTGTAGACTATTTTAATGCCCTGTTTTCTGATCTTCCCAAAAAGAATATTTCAGGTCTACAATTTTTACAAAATTCAGCAGCATGTGTCCCGACTAAGACCAGGAGGCAGGCCCACATTACACCGGTTTTAGAATCATTGTGTTGGCTCCCCGTGTGTTTTAGGATCGATTTTAATCTTCTTTTACTTGTTTTGAAATGTCTTAATGGTCTTGGGCCTTCTTATCTTTCAGAACTGCTTTTACCTTATGAACCTTCACGGATCCTGCGCTCCTCTGGCAGCAGTCTCCGAGTCATTCCCAAAGTCAGATCACCCAGTCCATATGTCTGTCTGTGTCCACAGGTGTGGAGCGATGGTGGCGCCCCCTGCTGGGGAGGACACGCCCCTTCATCCTGGTGGGTGGGCAGAGGAGGAGCCTCGCTGAAGCTCTACAGGTGAGAGGAACCGGGTCAGTGCAGTAACGGGTTATCACGAGGGTCCGGGGCTCGATTCCTTTAGACCCCCTCAGGGTTCTGGTGGACTGCTCTAGTCCTGCACGGCTCATGAGTCTCTGGGTCCACCTGTGGACCATCAGTCAGTCTGTCAGACTCTAAAGTCCAGTTCACAACCAGAACCAACAAATCCTCCTCCTGTCTCCTCCCTCATTAACGCTCAGGCAGGAAGAGGGGGGGGTTAGGGGGCAGGAACACTTCATGTGCAGCTGACAGAGACTCTGAGATCATTTCCTGTAAAAGCCCCCCTTCCCCCCACACACATGACTCCACCCAGAACTGTGTGTGTGTGTGTGTGTGTGTGTATGTGTGTCTGTGCGTGGGTGTGTGTGTGTTTGGGGGGGGGGGGGGGGACCCTTCAGCAGGGACTGAGGAGGTCCACACCAGGATCTCAAAAGAAAGTTCTGGTGTGGACCTTGGGTCCAAAGTCTGTCCCTCATCATGTCCAAAGATCTAACTGGGTTAGTCAGGACCTGGTCTGGTCTAGTCTGTTGAGGGTCCAGTTCTGAACCCAGCAGCCTGAGGAAACCGGGTCAGCAGGATCAGGTCTTCTTATGCAACCAAGAATCTACATGGACACTTATAAAACCAGCTTTATTGGAGGGATAATCCTGCTGAGTCAGCAATTACAACAGTTCTGCTGGGTTTGGACTTTACCTGGTACCACTACAGGTCCTCAAGAACCAGGACTCGGTCCTCAGTCTGACCCTGTTCATATTTAAGGGGGTCTGGACCTGAAGTTGATGGACCCCGGAGTCTGGAGGAGCAGAAGGGGAAAAGGTCTGATCTAAGAGACCGAGGACCGGGCCTCAGTACAGAGTCCGGGGGAGGCCTGGGCCTTGGTACAGAGTCCGAGGACCGGGCCTGTGCCGACTGGAGCGCCAAAAAGGAGAAGGATTCTGGGGGCCCATGATTGACAGGGAGGCCCCTAAGACGATTATTACACTGACAAAATTACGGAGTGATAAACTTACAGTTACAGATATGTAGGGCTGGGCGATAAAACGATAACGACCTAAAATTAATTTCCTTCAATATCAATATAAACCATGGTCAATCCGGCTGTTAAGCGTGACGTCATTTTGTGAGCGGAGCGGCTTCCGGGTCCATGGGGAATCAGCCTCCATTCACTCTCCATTCAAAACAACAATGGCGGAACCCGTGAATCTCTTTAAAATAACCTCCTTTTTCAGAAGGGAACCACTCAGAGTTAAAAAGGGACTTAAAGCTTTCAACTCGGATAGAGTTATTAACGTAAATTTTAGTGATGGCGAGATGAAGCCTCATGAAGCATCGAAGCTTTCCATCCAATTACTCGCCTCCTGGGCCGAAGCTTGGTGATCGTGCTTCATTTGCTCTATTGCGCCATCAAGTGGACAATAAATGTAAAACGATAAACCAAAGACACCCCAAGGCTTTGGTGCGCGAAGCTTTGAATTCAATGAATGAATGGATGTGATGCTGTGTGTTTGTGATACAATCATAGACTGTATACAGTCTATGGATACAATACAGAAATGATGAAGTTATTTTGTTGTCTTTGTTGTTGGGAGGAAATCTGTAGAATGATAGTTTAGTCGCGGTTTTTGTCTCTGATCAGTTTAAGCAGCAAGGGACATAGCACTGAGGCATTATAACAACAACTCCGCTGGACCCAGAAGTGGAAAAAGAGAACGCGGCTACGTCACGGCTTAACAGCCGGATATGCTTTTCCATGGTCTGCATTCTGTCATGTTTTGGTAGACTATACGAAAAGCCAATGAAAACAGGAGTTGCTCCGTGTCAACTTCGCTCTGAACCAATCATGTGCTGAATTAGAACCTAGTATCAAACAACTGCGTAGTAGCAGACAGCAGCTACACCCAACCATAGCACTTTAACAGGTGAAGCTGACAGCACTGTGGAGAAAAAGGAAATGAGTGCTACCCTCGACAGATGACGACATCGTCGACAACACTGGCACAAAAACGTTGGTGGTGTGGAGGAGTGGTGTGAGAGGAGCAAGAAGCCCATAGCGCCTGTGCAGCCGAAACAGACGACCATTCAGTACGCTTTCTTTAGAGCAACACCTTATGACAAAACCTCGAAGAGACACAAAGACCCCACAGATGAAGTAGATTATTGGTAGCATGTCTTTTCCAATACAATAAACACTGTTAAATGTCATTTTTTATATCAATATCGACTGATATGAAAAAAAAAATATCGTGATCGTCACATATATTTTATAAACAATACATCTGTAACTCTGTGTTAATTTGTTGTGCAAAACATTTCTTAAGCGCACCCCCCCACCCCCATTTATGTAAAATGGTTCATTCCACCCACACCATTTTCACAGACGCTAAGAGAGAGAGGCCTCAAAAATCTGAGTGCCAAAAACAAAAAAGGAAATAAAGCCCAGACAGGAGAATGAAACGAGGAGTCGTGGGCAGTAATTGGTTCATGTGATTGAAAGTTCTGGAACATTAGCCTGTTTTTGTCTATACCCAACTTTGTCCATAGTTTATGAACGAGTTCACTTTTCTCCCATATGAGCTCATATTTCTGAAGAAAACTCATTTTACTCTGTTTTTAGTTCAATAATCAACGCAGGCAAACATTTGGTAAGCTGCTCTGCCTTTAGTCAGTTTGCCCCCAAAGACACATTAAAGGTGGGGTAGTCAGGATCTGAGGAAGTTCCAGTTTTTAGGAGAAATCTTGAATGTAAACTCTACCCCTCCCAACCAGTTTTCCCCTCAGCTCCTCCTCTCCCCTCCTGCTCTGCTCCAGCAAGCCCCGCCCACAAACAGACGCTCCTGCTCGCTCGAATCATTCCAATTAAATTCAGATATAATGCAGATAAATACTTCAGATAATTACAAATGGGGCCCAGTCAACGTGAAAGTAAAAAGCATCGGTCCTACTGTAGATGCCAACAGACTACTAGCAAACACAATGGCCCTTATTTTTTAAGCTTGCGTACAGCAGAAAACTTGCGTACACCTTGCGTACGAAAATTTTGACGTAAGGATCGGCATTTATCAATCTGCACCTGAGCGTACGCTACGATCAAATCTCACGATAGGTCTGACATCATGTACGCAAGTTTGAGTCAGTGTGGATCTGTGGCGCAGCAAATTTCTCGAAATAATTGATAAACCTCAAACCTGTCATTAAGAACAATCAGCCAGATTTCATAAAGGTTAAGACGTAAATAAAATACAATAAAATAATTTTTTTATGTCCTACGTGAATAGGCCTATTTGATAACTCTGCCCAGAAACACTGCAACAGAGCAGGAGTACCGTTTCAACATTACGCACACACGCCACTGTGGAGCGTTGCGTTTGACCCCTAAAAGGCAGGTGTCTCCATCTTCGCCTAGCAGCGGGGACGTTGTTGCACACTCCTGAAAGGGTGTGGGACATCATTTGGGCCAGTTCAGTTTTGCACAATGTTGCACTGGCGAATGGAGTGCCGTTGGCTGTGCTGGTGCAACGTGAGGAACCGATGCCAGGAGAACAATAATGAGGAGAGACTCCTCAAAGGTAGCCTGGCTGGGCCATGCAGTTGCGTGAATCACTTGCCGTTCCTTCCCACAACAGTCTGGACTTCGGCCAATTGGGAGCCCTAAAAGTGGGCGGGAGTAATTTCCTTGATAGACAGACTACTATTACCATCACCGTAACGAAACATCTGACGTCATCACAGTGCGCAACTGTGTTCCCTGCTGGGCTCTCAAGCATCAAGTAAAGGTTTGGTAATATTTCAACGTGTGCGAGCAAACAATGTCTTTTACGTCTTCTTCTGCGGATATAAACGATTTCTGCCGACTTTGCAAAGTCAACTGCAGAATCAACGGCGTTCTGAATTAACAGTGTTCTGAATGAACAGTGCTTTGAAAAGTCCTGCAGCATGTGTTAGACGTCACCATCTACACATGGACCAATCAGGGGCTGCCTTTCACTGTTGTCCGGCGAACAGTGGAAACACAGTCACTGATTGGCCCAGTTATTTTCTGATTTCTAATACACGCTCCCAATTGGCCGAAGTCCAGACTGTTGTGGGAAGGAGCGGCAAGTGATTCACGCAACTGGATGGCCCAGCCAGGCTACCTCAAAGGTGCTGTACAGAGGAGACAGGACCTTATCGATGGATTCTGACATGTAAAGTATAAGTTTAGAAAGTGCTCTTGCTGTTTAATCAGTGATAAAAATCCAATAGAAATCCATAAAAATGTGCCTTAGGGGCAGCAACACACCGTTTGGTGACGTTAATAATTATTTTTGTTCAGCTGCTGTCAGACTCTCCAGTCTGCACTACATTACAAAGACACAACAAATTAAAACTAAATACTTTAAATAATAGGTGCAACGTACTATATGTCATGGCAATAAAAAAAATATGAGGCGTGTATGAGATATTAATTTATCATCACGAGCAACTTATTGACTAATGATTTATTAATACTTCAGCCACTGTCCGCCATTCCGCCGCAGCGCTGTTCACCGCCACCATAATCCTGCTCCAGACAGGAGTTTTCTGGACTGCTTTTATACCAGTTTTGATGCTTTCAAAGAGAAAATCCTTGTTAGTTTCCACCACAGATGTGAGGATATTTCAGCTCGGAAAAGTTTGGAATCTTTCTAATATTTCTCCTCTTTCATGTTTGACTTCGTACGCTGGGATTGGTCAGATACGAACCCTTTCATAAATCTCACGTGTGTCCTATCGTTCTATGAATCCTGCGCTCAGATCTGCGCTCAGATCTGTGCAAGATTGATAAATCAGGGCCAATGTTTGCAGGACTTCTACAACTAGGATAAAGTGACATAGTCCAGGACCCGGGGTCAACAGTTTAGCGTGCTACAACACGCTACAGCAGGTGCCGTTTGACAAGAAACACTTCTGTTACAGACACTTGGCTTACTTTGTTAAAGCGGTTTACCCGTCCAGCACAAAGGTTACAAGGTCACCAAGATCCCGAAGCGTCCCCCATCGTTTATGTTGACCCAGCTTTTTAGCTCTTGTCCGGTCTACCTCCTTTTTAAGCGCCTGTTATTCCACCAGAGTCTCCGGTAATTACTCTGTTTTCTTGCTTGTGTCGGCAGTCGTGGCCAAAGGAGGATTCAGACAGTTTTCCGAACTTTCTGGTTGGTTTCTACAGTCCGATATTGTAGCACGCTAACTTTGTTTGGGCTCCTGAACACGGGGGAGCAGCGTCTGCCTCACAACCAATCAGGTCGGGGAGGTGGAGAATGGCTTTATTTACAGTCAGAAAGAGCGGACCGCTCAAAAATGTTAAAATGTCGACTACACAGTCAAAAGAGAACACAGAGATATTGTTATATTACCAAATGTCATTTGGTAATGACATGTATTGACTGTAACAGATTTTTTGTATAAAAAACAAAAAATAAGGTGCTTCTTTTACGGATTCCTGCCGACCCCACCTTTAAGAAGAACAGCAGCAACTGTCTGTTTTTTTTTTTTTTAGGTAATTATTCATCATAAAACTTGATGTTCAAATATTTGAAAGAAAAGTTCAATTTTGGGAATATAATGTATCAGTCTTTTCAGTTCTTCCCCTACCAACCAACTGTCATGATGTTCTTTCCACAAATATGGGAATGATGATCGTCAAAAATATAATTAAAATGCAGTTTTATGAAAAATACTACAAACATTTTCCCAGGGAGGGGCAGTAAAATCCCTAGCTGCGCCCCTGTGTGCAGAGACCGAGGACAGGGCCCCCTTCTTGGCTCTGAAGAGCTTCATAAACACTCGGACACTCAGACACAAAGACCTTTAGTGAAGGTTGGCACTCTAACGTCCTACAGAGAGGAGGTCAGTGAACGCCTCCGTGTGTTTAGACTCAGGAGGTTGTCATAGAAACAGGAGAAAAGTCCAGATCCTCCGTTCCTCTGTGTTCTGGTTTCCTGTTTGAGGCTAGCGCTGAGGTCGGACCTGCCCTACATGACTCAGCCCCCCCCCCCCCCCCCGGCCTCCACAGAGTCCAGAGGGTGGAGAAAACAAACACGCCTCAGAGGGGAATTCTGCTCCAGTTAAAGGAACGAAGGCCGGGGTCATGTCCACAGACCGACTGAACCGGTCCAGATGATTGGACTTTGTTTTAGTCCATCTGTGTGGAGGACTGGAGGTCTCATGTGACCCTCTTCAGAGTCTACTGAAGTTCTGTCGGAGTTGGTTTTCTCAGTCAGAAGACAAAAAACTTCTTCTTCTCTGCTCTAAAACTGTAATTTCACACACATACACACACGCACACACACACTTGAGCTGACAGGAGGAAGCTTGGAGGTGTCGGACAGGAAGTGTCTCCTCCTCCTTAAAGAGCAGCTCCATCTGCAGACAGGAAAACCAACTGATTGTGTAACGGATGTCCTAAACTTCGCCCACTTCCCGAAGTATTAAAGGAGGAGATGATGTGGACTCGATTAAGTATCCTGCTTGTGTGTGTGTGTGTGTGTGTGTCAGCTCCTTTAATATCAGAGTCTGGATCAGTGATAAAATTGAGACCAGGGGCCTTATTTATCAAACGTGCATAGAAAAGGTTCTAAATTCTGGCGTAGGAATGAAATTTAGAATGTGCGTAAGTACAAAAAAATCCATATTCATCAAACGTGCGGACACCGGTCGTACGCACACACCTAAGTAATCGGTGATGATAAATCCCACCTGTTCTTTACTACCGTGCTCGTGCATGGTTAGAGTCATTTGCATTCAGGAACGCCTCCAATTGACCATATATGGCATCAACAATCCCTTTAAAAATGCGTGTATGAATGTTTTTCCTCCTCCTGGAGGTGCACACTCACAGCGCTGTTCTGCAGAATGAATGAGTCGTGCGTTCCTCCAGGCCACCAGGCAACAACGTTTAACAGAATCAAATGTGCATCGCAGATTATTTGTGCATTGATTGAATGATATCTTTTCCTGTTGACGAATCTGAATTTATTGTGTGAAGGTACTTTTATTGCGATGTGGGTGCAATCTATGGCTCCAATTGTGTTTGGGAATCTGGCGATGGCGTGAAATCCTCGTTTTATTTCGGCTTGTTGCTGATGTGTGTTTGGGAACTGGATGTAAATTGAGGCCAGAGAAATTATTACATCCAACTCGGCATGATTCTGTTTAGCGTTGGCTGCGAAATATCGCATATGTCTCAAATCTCATGCTGAAATGTTCGGGTTAGGGTGGACAGGAGCTGGATGTGCGCTGGGATGGCTTTGGTGCGTTTTGTTTCTCGCTCCGACACAGGTAGTAAATCACGGCGTAAATCCATTAAAATGTTTTCGGGGAAGCGGTACCTGCTGAGAATCCACTCTGAGTTCTCACTGAACAGATCAGCACGGTCTTTGAAAACGCGCTCCCTGTGGAGGAGCAGACGCTTCTCCAAGTCCTCCAATAGCGCAAAATAAACCGTGATACTTGTATTTGTACGTGTAAGACTTCTTTTGAGGTTGTCCTGTCACAGCAGATTTTTATAGCTTGTCTCACCAATCATTCAAAATGTCTGCTAAATTACTAATTGATAAATTTTGTATAGAGGCAACGGGAACATGTGTGAAGTTTGAGATTGCAGAACGCTGTGACTCCTTTAATGGGTTCTATTTGTAGTTTTACTGTCCTACCACTAGGTTTTGTGTGTACGCATGGTCAGAGTTGTGCTTAAATTTACGCACGTTCCTAAGCACAAGTACAGGTTGATAAATTCCAGACTCTGCATGGGAATGTTCGTACGCACTCTTTACGCACACATCTGTGTGTACGCAGGGTTGATAAATGAGGCCCCTGGTCTAGAGGGACCAGCTGAAGGTCTTCATGGACCAGGAGGACATCTGAGATCATGGTCTCCACCAAACCACCTCATCACCTTACCTGAGCTACGATTCGACATTACTGCTGTTTTAAACATTTGAAAGTACAATGAGTATTGTCCTATATAAAATACACAGTTACTGTGATCCTCTATGTTTTATATATATATATATATATATATATATATATATATATATACACTACCGTTCAAAAGTTTGGGGTCACATTGAAATGTCCTTATTTTTGAAGGAAAAGCACCTTACTTTTCAATGAAGATAACTTTAAACTAGTCTTAACTTTAAAGAAATACACTCTATACATTGCTAATGTGGTAAATGAGTATTCCAGCTGCAAATGTCTGGTTTTTGGTGCAATATCTACATAGGTGTATAGAGGCCCATTTCAAGCAACTATCACTCCAATGTTCTAATGGTACAATGTGTTTGCTCATTGGCTCAGAAGGCTAATTGATGATTAGAAAACCCTTGTGCAATCATGTTCACACATCTGAAAACAGTTTAGCTCGTTACAGAAGCTACTAAACTGACCTTCCTTTGAGCAGATTGAGTTTCTGGAGCATCACATTTGCGGGGTCAATTAAACGCTCAAAATGGCCAGAAAAAAAGAACTTTCATCTGAAACTCGACAGTCTATTCTTGTTCTTAGAAATGTTCTTCCATGCGAGAAATTGCTAAGAAATTGAAGATTTCCTACAACGGTGTGTACTACTCCCTTCAGAGGACAGCACAAACAGGCTCTAACCAGAGTAGAAAAAGAAGTGGGAGGCCGCGTTGCACAACTGAGCAAGAAGATAAGTACATTAGAGTCTCTAGTTTGAGAAACAGACGCCTCACAGGTCCCCAACTGGCATCGTCATTAAATAGTACCCGCAAAACACCAGTGTCAACATCTACAGTGAAGAGGCAGCTGCGGGATTCTGGGCTTCAGGGCAGAGTGGCAAAGAAAAAGCCATATCTGAGACTTGCCAATAAAAGAAAAAGATTAAGATGGGCAAAAGAACACAGACATTGGACAGATGAAGACTGGAAAAAAGTGTTGTGGACGGATGAATCCAAGTTTGAGGTGTTTGGATCACAAAGAAGACTGTTGTGAGACGCAGAACAAATGAAAAGATGCTGGAAGAATGCCTGACGCCATCTGTTAAGCATGGTGGAGGTAATGTGATGGTCTGGGGTTGCTTTGGTGCTGGTAAGGTGGGAGATTTGTACAGGGTAAAGGGGCGTTCAGACCAAACGCGACCTGACGCGACTTGGCGACGGCTCCCAATGCAAAGTCTATGGCCAGCCGCGACCTGACGCGACTTGGCGACCGCCGGCTGCCTGCGACGCGACCTGACGCGACCTAGCGACCGGTCGCCAAGGCGCGTCGCCGAGGTCGCGTCGCCGAGGTCGCAGGATGCCAAGTCGCGTCGCTCCCAAAGTTCAAATATATGAACTTTGGGAGCGACTCCGTGCTGCGACAGCCAATCAGGGCTCTGCTGACGTCAACAAACCGGCGAAACAAGGAAGAGGAGAAGAAGAATCACAATGGAGGAGCAGTTAATCACATCCGTTAGCTACCACCCGGTGCTATACGACGTGGGTTGCGGTCTGTACCGGGACCGCAACGCCAGTGAAGAAGCATGGGGGAAGGTGGCCCGTGATATCGGGCTTTCTGGTAAGCTTGTTTGTTTAGTTATTTATTTCAGTGAGCGGACTGTTTTATGAAAACATAGCTAACTGCCCCTGCTTGCTAGGCTACATGTTTCAACGTATGTGTGTGTGTCTTTGCAGAGGATGTGTGCCGCAAGCGGTGGAAGGGGCTTAGGGACGTTTATATGAGGGACAGACAGATAGACAGGCGCTCCGAAGCTGAGATGGAGCGCCTGTATTTCGTGTCCAGGCGGGAGATGCTGCTTCCCACCCGGGCGAGGAGGTCCTCGAACTGCGCCGTCGACACACGGAAATACCGCTGGAAGGGCCGTCGTCCAGGCGGAGTTCCTGGAGCAAGCGGTGAAATTCACCCAGCTCCGTCCTCCTCCGGATGGTTTCATGCACCCATAAACGCCGGCGGCGTCTACCTCCGGTATACCTGCTCACCTTCGCTGCACTTTCGCTCCATTTCCACGGCGTAAACGCCGGCGCCGCCGTGGCAAACGCAGCGGCCGGCTGGTGAAAGTTAAATCTCTCTTGGCTCGATCTTCCGTGGTTTCCCTGAGGAGAAATGGAGTGGGATCTGGTCTCTTTCCTCATCTGCGATCGCTGCACCCTGTCGACTCCTGGCTGGTACCGGTCGTCGGTTCGGATGGGATCGTCCGTCCCCGCGGCCCCTGCTCTCCTCGTCCCCGCCGGCGTGGGGTGAATCCTCGCCATCTACGGGCCCTGTGTCGGGCTCCGCGATCAGCTGATGCCTCGGATGTGCCGATCTCTGCCAGGTTCGGCCTAGTCAATGCCAGATCACTGGCAAACAAAACTTTTATCCTGAAGGATTTCTTCATGTCCCGTGGATTGGATTTTCTCTGTGTGACGGAGACATGGCTGAGTACCGGTGAGTCCAGTCCTCTTATTGAACTCTGCCCGCCGGATTGCTGCTATTTTAATTCCCCGCGGTCGTCTGGTCGAAAAGGAGGTGGAATAGCAGTTATTTTTAAAAGCGACTTTAAATGCCGGCAGATCAGCCTGCATTTCCCATTCACAAGTTTCGAAATGTGCTTGTTTGAACTGGGCTGCTCTCATGTTGTCCTGTGCGCCGTCATCTATCGACCACCCAAGTACAATAAGGATTTTATAAGTGACTTTTCTGAATTTCTGGCCGAAATTCTGCCGAAATACGACCGTGTCCTTATTGTTGGTGATTTTAATATCCACACTTGTTGCCCTGAAGAGCCGGTCTCCAGGAGCTTTTTAAATCTCATTGACTCTTTTAACTTCGTGCAGTCTGTGTCCGGTTCTACACATAATCTCGGGCACACACTAGACTTGGTGCTCTCGCATGGTCTGTGTGTGTCTAACCTTGTCATTTGTGACGCTGTTTTCTCGGATCATATGCCGATTTTATTTGACATCCCCACTCAGTGTCCGGTTAAACTGCGCGCTCCACCTAAACCGCGTCGCATGTTTAACTCCTCCTCGCCTGCTCTGTTCTCATCTACCTTCGTTGGTCTCTGCGAGGATGACTCTGCAGCCCCTGTGTGTGTGGATACTGAGGAACTGGTACTGAGATTTCACTCCACCTGTTTACAAACACTGGACACGATCGCTCCTCTGAAGACCCGGCGCACCAAACCTACACCCGAGCCCTGGTTGAACGACGTCACTCGTGCAGCCAGGCGTGAGTGCAGGAGGGCAGAGCGCAGGTGGAAAAAGGACAGTCTGCACGTGTCTCTTGGCATCCTTAAAGATAGTCTGAGGAATTATCAGAGGATTGTGAAAGCTGAGAAGAATAAATATTTCTCTGAATTAATTGCTTTTAACTGTAACAACCCCAGAGCTCTGTTCAAAACCATAAACACTGTCCTTGAGGCTCCCAAGTCTCTTGGTTTTGATGCCTCCACTGAAATCTGTGAAAAATTCCTCCACTTCTTCACTGATAAAATTATGTCAACCAGAGCCTGTATCTCTCAGCCATCGTATGACCCTTCAGCCCCTCTGCACCCCTCATCTGTCTTCTCTAAATTTGAGTCTGTGTCCCTCTCTATTTTAAAGGACATAGTCAGCCATATGAAGCCTTCTGGTTCCCCTGCTGATGCCATCCCCCCTCGCTTGTTTAAAGAGGTACTTGCTACTATTGGACCAAGTGTCCTTAATATTGTAAATTGTAGCCTCTCATCCGGTACAGTACCTACGGATTTTAAACATGCTGTGGTACGACCTCTACTCAAAAAAACTGGCCTTGACCCATCCCTCTGTGCCAATTTCAGGCCCATCTCAAATCTGCCATATCTGTCCAAGATTCTAGAGAAGGTTGTCTACAACCAGTTGTTACCATTCTTGGAAGACAATGGTATCACAGAGTTGTTCCAGTCCGGTTTTAAAGCTCTCCACAGCACAGAGTCAGCACTTTTAAAGGTTTCAAACGATATTCTAATGCCAACAGACTCTGGAAAGTTTGTTGTCCTTGTGCTCCTAGATCTGTCTGCTGCATTTGACACTGTTGACCACAGCATTTTAATCTCTCGCCTGGAGCACTGTGTGGGCATTAAGAGTGTTGCCCTGGACTGGTTCCGGTCTTATTTAAGGGACAGAAGTTTCTGTGTTCAAATTGACAACTCTGCATCCTCAACAGCTCCTCTTCCACATGGGGTCCCCCAAGGCTCAATCCTCGGCCCTCTTTTATTTGCCTTTTATTTACTCCCCCTTGGTTCTGTTTTTAGGAAACACGGCATCTCCTTTCATTTTTATGCTGATGATTGTCAGATCTATCTCCCACTAGCACAGAACAACTCCAACTCAGTCCAACAACTCACTGACTGCCTTAAGGACATTAAAGCCTGGCTTTCTTTTAACTTCCTCAGTCTAAATGAGAACAAGACTGAAGTAATGTTGTTTGGACCAAGTGGCGGCCACCCCCCCAACATCGACCTAGGCTCCCTCTCACCCTACCTAAAAGAGGTCATCACTAATCTGGGAGTTAAATTTGACCCGGATTTTAAATTTGAGAAGCAGATCAGCGGAGTGGTACAAAAAAGTTTTTATCAGCTACGTCAAATAGCGAAGGTGAAGCCCATTTTATCAAGACCTGACCTGGAAAAATTAATCCATGCTTTTATAACTACCCGTCTTGATTACTGCAACTCTTTGTACGTAGGGATTAGCCAGGCTTCCCTTGCCCGCCTGCAGCTTGTGCAGAACTCTGCTGCACGTCTCCTGACACAGACCCGCAGGCGTGAGCACATCACCCCCATCCTGGCATCCTTACACTGGCTCCCTGTTCAGTACAGAATTCATTTTAAGCTTTTAGTATTTGTTT